GATTAACCGGTTTCCAATGCATTCCTATGGGAAATGGTGTTTCGCATAGCGATGGTTTCACATAGCGATGTTTTTTTTGGAACGAATTAACATCGCTATGCGAAGCACCACTGTATATGCATCTCCTCAGAGCCATCTCTCTGCCATTAAGAGAGAGGCCCGGCTGATTTCTTTTCTTTTCTTTTTCTAAATAAATTGGCTCTTGATCAGTCGCATGTTTCTTAGCCTGTTGTCCTCACCGGGAACCTGAACCCATAATTAGCCTGTAACAATAGCATCTGTCGCTTTCTTAGTATCTTCCTACACCACAACTGGGGCTTAGTCAACTACTCGAAGACCACTGAATAACAACACCACAAAGCCGTCTTCCCAAGGGATGAAAAGACAAGCCACGGCCTGCAGCAGCAAAGGATCCCTTTTACCGGAAGTACCGCAAGGCAGCCTAGACGCCTTTGAACGTCATTTCCCCCATCTCGGTCTCGCGCGTTTCTCCCTAGCACTCTCGCGCAGCATCCGGGTTACAAGGATCGCCAGCGAACTGAGGACGTGGCACTGAAGAGGAAACGCAAAGCCACCTGGGAAAGGAGGGGGTGTTTCCGGTGAGGGGGGGAGAAACAGGAGCGGCGGGTCCAGGAAGCGGAAGTCGGCGCCTGCGGTGGCTCGACATCCGTGCTGGTATCACCAGGGGGGCAGCCGGTTGGGGTGAGTGTGTGGCCAAGTCGGGGGGGGGGGGTCGGTCGGTCGGTCGGTGGGCCCGGCATCTCCTTCCGTGATGGGCAGGGAGGGTTACGAGCCTGGCGGCTGAGTGGCTTTCCGGTTCCACAGGAACTCTGCCCTGATTCTGGCCTAGTTTTTTTTTCTTTTTTAGTATCGCCGAGTTCTGCTTCGAGCTCCGTTAATGGCATCGCCGATATAGCTTCTCTGTTGTTGGAGGGACCACTCCCCCCCGCCCGGGTTGGCTCGAGCAGGTCCCCAGTGACGAGCGATCCTCTTTGCTTGCCGATTTCTTTTTTCCCTGCCTCATTTCTTTGGGCAGGAATCGGGAACAGCAGGTGCTCCCTTCGCCTTTTCCTTCCTTTAGCTGCGCCAAGGATGCTCAGTTTGACATGTACTCTGCTCCAGGTTTGGCAGTCTCCGAGCGGTAAAGCTTTTCTTGGATACCTCTGCTGAACCGCAGGTGAGATGATGGTTTTTATGGCTCACACAAGATCCTTCTCCATCGGGGCCCCTTGACTGTAGAATAAGTAGGATTTTGGTAGAAAGTTCAACAAAACTTTTCTCCCCCATGTGCTAACTATGCCTATGTGTAGAGATTCTGCTTGTGGAAAGTATGTCACTATGCCATGTTCAAGCTAAAAGAATGGAATCCAGGGGCCTAGACCACTTGGGTTTGTGTGTGTGTGTGTGTGGAATATCCAACAAAAGTTTGATGGGCAAACTGGAGGTAAAGCAGCATTGTGTGTCTGTAGGTGGGTTGTAGAGCATTCTGACTGCATTTTATTAAAAAAAAACCTATTCTGTTGGTCGCTTCTTTAGTGTAAGTACTAATACTGTGTTTTTACAGACTGCTTTTGAATTCTATAGGTGTATACAGCGATTTCTCAGCCTCAGTGCCATTTGCAATATTAGGCTGTTAAGTTGCTGATGGGTGTGAGCTAGAGATGGTTAATTATCTGAAGTCGCATAGTAAGTAAGTATAAAGCAAAAATTTGAACCATTTTTTCATGGCTCACATACTTTTTGCTGCAGAAGATGAAGGGTTAATAGGAGCTGTATTCATTACATGACCAGTTACTCCCTTTATCAGTCTGGACTTGCATTCCTTAGAGACATGAAGCTAGTGATATTCTCACAAGCAATTTTTTCTTTAGGTGAATTATGCATGAAGAATGCATGGAGTTACAATCCTGCCAACATGTGAATTGTCACATACAGTATTTCCCATCTCTGATGCATGTTTGTGTTATTTTCATCTACATGTCATCAGGCTTATATCATTTTGATCTTGGGACTGAAACATTAAACTGCAGATCTACTTACTTTTTCTTCTTCCTTGAGAACGTCTCACAATAAGCTGAATGAAATGGGAGACAGTGAAATAACCCTCTTTTGTTTAAACCATGTGGTTTCTTTATAAAGAGTAACAGTCATGTCTTGGTCAACAACATACTTTTCTTGAGTACACTTTTTATGAATTAGACATCTACTCCAGTGGTGGTTTGTAGAGGAATGGATAGGAATGTGTTTCAGTAGAGTCTCACAAGCTGTCAGATTAGTGAGGCAGCTGTGGATAATACCACTGCATATTTTTAAAGCAGGAGTGGAGAACTGCCTTCTGGGCCCACCCTTGAAGCCTTCAACCTGTGGATGCCGTGTATCCCTTTCTCCATGCAGAGAGAGAGGCTTGGCACAATCAAGACTCTGTACAAGGGGAAAGGGACTGCCCTTTGCTCCAGTCCTTCTCTGCTGCAGGAAAGTTTCCACCCCCACGTTTAGAGAGTGGCTGCTTTTCTCTCTGATCAAGTCCTATATTGTAGAATGTGGCCTCAACTTCCAGAGCTAGAGACATGGAATATGGCAAACGTGGAGCTGCTTCGTGTTCCTGCCTGAGTGCTAACTGAATGCTTTCTTTCTGAGCAGGAATGAGTACATTGAGGCCTAGCTTGGCCTGAAAGCTTTCAATTTAGGCCTTTCTTCCAGGTGTTAACACATTTATTAATTATTTATTTGAAATATTTCTGCCCAACATTTCTTCTTGAGAAGGACCCAAGGCAGCTTACATTATTCAAAGGCAATAATTAAAGCTAAAAACAATAAGTATAAAATATTAAAGAAGATCAAACAAATATCACAGTAAAATATGGCAAGCAGAAGCAAGTTCAAAACACATTCAAAGTGGTAAGGCACCGGAATCTATCTAAGAATGCCACTCAGGCAGCCAGTCATTAAGGGAAAGTTTGCTTGAAAAGTCTTTACTTTACAGCAAAGATGGCCCAGTTTGGCCTTCTGTGGGAAGTGTTTGTGAAGAGGGTAGGGAGAGCTCTCAGAATGGAGAACTATGGTACTGTATTTGTAGTCCAGAAAATCCAAAAATCCCATTCCTACTAAATTCTTCTCTAAGAATAACTATGTTAAATAATAAATCTAAACAGAAATATGAGAGCATAACATTTGCTCTTACAGTGGTTTAAGCCACATGCCACATTGTAGTTTGTTGCTATAGGAATGACCATAGCCTTCCCTGGGCTTGAACCACTCTGGGGAGAATTAAGGAGAATGGGAGCTTTCATATCCAGTTTTGCTGGACCATAACTTGTTACCATGTCTGAACGTTGTCTCATATGAAACAAGCCAACTTACTTGTGGGCTGCTTTAATTAAATAAGTCATAGTTGTTCAATTGAAATTAGAAATAAAAGCCTCTCTCCTTATGGAGAAGTGTACTAACTCAGTGCTCTCTATGTCTGGTTCTCATAATAAACTGGGTTAGTGTGACATACAAATGTCAACAGCAACACCAGAAAGTGGGCATTTTATTTTTACTTGCTTATACTGATACTGTTTTATTCTGCCCAACAACCATCAGATTTTCTTTTGACTTAATAGTGATGATTTTTAAAAATCAGATTTGTTTAAATCTTGATTTAAATTAAACAATTTGATTTAAATCAAATCCACCCTGATAGTTTTTTGTTGTTTCTGTTCTCTTTTTTCTGAGAGTGAGATTGAGTGAGGGCAGAGCGAAGCAAAAGAAAGAACAAGGACCAGTGTGTCATGCATTTCCTTTATACTAGCAAAAGGAAACTGCAAATATATACATGTCAATTAATTATAATTAATCAGTGTCTGGATGAAAAAAATAGCAGAAAAGCAACAATACTCTTATTTAATTTTAATTTAACATAGATTATTGATCACTCATCAGGCTTGTGTTGTTGTTTGGGAAATATATGAAATATTAACTGGAAAAGTGATTAAAATAATTTAGATTGGCTTCTTAAAAGCCGAGTTTAAATCACTGTTTTAAATGTATCCACCTTGGCTCAGGATGGGGCTATCTCCTTCTTAGGTTGCAACCATCTGTGTTTCTTATGAGCTGTATGTTAAAGACTAAATATGTGTACAATTCTGTTTGCTAGCAGTTTCTGTTAAAGAATTAATCTCACTTTACATATAGTTTCTGTAACATCAATCTGTTAACATTATGGTTTGCCCATATCTTAAATGATAACTGTTTCCTTGTTTAAAACTTACTTCAGGTTGGCAAAATTATTTTCAAATCCACTGAGAACTAAGTTGATTTATTTTAGCGTAAGCATGTGTAGATACTATATTTATGTTTAGGGTATTGTGGTCAACATCCTGTTGCTTAGTGTAAGGCAAATCATAACTTTTGGTCCTCCCTAGTAAACAAAGCAACCCTACCATGATTATCAGGGTGTACACACATGTGCCAAGCCACCCCCTGTCCCATTCAAACTGCAGTAAGGACAGTTTGTTTAGTAGGAGCGGAACGGACTGAAAGTTATGATTTGACTTAAGCAGTGGGCTCTTGGCCTCTGTATTCTAACAGGTGATAAATAAACATAGGAAAGTTTTTGGCTGTTAACTGCCTTGCCTAATTTTATTTTATCTTGGATTTATTTTTCCTCTTTATGTGGAATGGAACCTACAATTCTCTTGTGAAATGGAACTTACAATTCATATGATATGTGCAGTATTTACATGCAGCTTCACTGGAAGTCCCTGCATTCTGGCGTTATGAGAAAGAGAGAAGAGCTCCCTATTAGTTTTCTCCACATCATTAATCATTTCATAAGTTGCTCTCCTCTTCTTAAATGCCATCTTTAGAAAATAAATAGCCCATGAATATATAACCTTTTTTGCAAGAGGTTATAACCTCTAGCTAATAATTTTGGTTGTTCTTTTCTTCACATTTCTCAGAGATATACAATATGCTTTTTGTGAGGCAGAGATATTCCTTTAGTTCATTTAATTAGAAAGTGGTCCCAGTTACTTACATAAGAAGAGCCCTGATGGATCAGGCCAAGGGCCCATCTAATCATGCTTCCTTTATCTCACACTGCCCCCACCAGATGCCTCTAGGATGAGACAACTAGTTACCTGTCTCCTGCCTTCTAAACCGGAAGATTGTACATCTCCATCATGGCTTGTAACCTGCAATGGACTTTTCCTCCAGGAATGTGCCCAGTCCCTCTTTTAAAGGCATCTAGGTCAGATGCCATCACCACATCCTGTGGCAAGGAGTTCCACAGACTAACAATATGCTGAGTAAAGACATTTTTTCTTTTGTCTGTTCTCACTGTCCCAACAGTGAATCGGAGTGGCTGTCCCTGGTTCTGGTATTGCATGAGAGGGAAAAGAGCTTCCCTCTATCCACTTTTCCATCCCCTGCGTAATTTATACATCTCAATCATGTCCCCCCTCAGGCACCTTTTCTCTAGACTAAAGAGCCTCAATCGCTGTAGCTTTTCTTCCTAAGGGAGGTGCCCCAGCCCACTGATCATTTTAGTCGCTCTCTTCTGCAAGTTTCATGTCATCTGCAAACTTGGCCACCTCACTGTTTATCCGTATCTCCAGGTCATTTATGAGCAGATTGAAAAGCACTGGTCTCAGGACAGATCCCTGGGGCACACCGCTTTTCACCTCTCTCCATTGTGAAAATTGCCGATTGACACCTAGTCTCTGTTTCCTGGTTCTCAGCCAATTCTCAGTCCTGTCTTCCTATCCCCTGGCTGTGGAGTTTTCTCAGCAGCCTTTGGTGAGGGACTGCATCGAACACCTTCTGAAAATCCAGATAGACAATATCCACTGGTTCGCCCGCATTCACATGCCTGTTGACCTTTTCAAAGAATTCTAAAAGGTTTGTGAGGCAAGACTTACCCTTACAGAAGCCGTGCTGATTTTCCCTCAGCAAGGCTTGTTCTTCTATGTGTTTTAAGATTTTATCTTGGACGAAGCTTTCCACCATCTTCTCTGGAACAGACGTTAGGCTATCTGGCCTGTAGTTTCCCAGGTCCCCCCTCCTTCCCTTTTTTAACATTGGCTTCTCACTCTTCATTATTTGTGCATTATTCTTCTTTCCAATGGCAGTGGATATTTTATATATTATTATAAATTTCAAGGAACACTTTTAACAAATTACACATTTTGGTAGGGTTGCAATGATTTGGTTTAATATACCTCTACCTATAGTTTTGCAGTATGAAAAAAAACCATCATTGTCCTTACTGATTTCTTATACAATCTGTCTATACTGTGGGTGGACATGAGGTGTGTATATATCTCATAAATACAGGCAAAAGTTCCTGCATAATAATGGGAATGCTGTCCACAAGGAAGCTCGCCTGGCACATATATTGATGGCTTTTTGGTACCGAGAAAACAACCTTGATTGTTATACTGTAGTTTTTTAGTCTCCTGTGAAGTGTGCTTGCTGCTTGTCAGTTTTTTCCTCCTCATTTCTCTTTTATACTGTGCTTTGATAGTTCATTTTTAATTTGCTTTATAGCCATTTAACTCCTTGTACATTACAATGAGAACATTTAAAAATGTTTTACAAATTCATTAAAGTGGGCAGCTTAATTACTTGCTATTGGCTGCTTTATCCCTTCTGCCCTATCCAGACTGTGTTTTCTTGGGGGGGGGGGATATTTGAGGCAATCATTTTGCTTTCTTTGAATGCCTTGTAGTGGTTCACTGCTGAAAATCAGCAAAAAAAAAAAGGAAACATGAAAAACTAGTTAAAGCAAGTAAAATATAAATGGTGTTTTTTCACAGATGCTTGTTTGGTGGGTGGTATAGAAAAAGCCCCACAGGCCTACATGGTTGCCATCTCTTATCTTAAAGAAACACATTTTGGTTACATTGGAAAAGCAGCCCGGTGGGAATGCCAGAATTAATTACACTGTATTTCCCCCAAAATAAGACAGGGTCTTATATCAATTTTTGCTCCAAAAAACACATTAGGGCTTATTTTCAGGGGATGTTTTATTTTACAGTCATGTCATCTTCCAGTTACTGCACAGTAGTGGAGGGCGGGGTTTCACTTGACTGGGGCTTATTTTTGGGGTAGGGCTTATATTACGAGCATCCTGAAAAGTCCTACTAGGTCTTATTTTCAGATTAGGTCTTATTTTTGGGGAAACGGTATGATGTCTGAGTGCTTTGTTCAGTAATGTCATTGTAATCTAGTTGTTGTGTTTAGCTTGCATTCCTTTTCTGGCCCTGTGAGACTTTTTAATGTGTGACTTGTACTAGTATCAATAGTAGTAGGGTGGATAAAAATAAATTTTAAATCTTTTAAAATCATGATTTAAATTTTGAAAATTGGTTTTTACAATTTAAATAATAAAAAAATCTAATTTTAAAATTTAAATCATGATTTAAATCAAACCAACCCTGAACAATCGTGATGAAAGGATAGTTTATGTGTGTCCGTGCACGCGCGCACACACAGAGTAATGTATTCAGATTAGAGATGGGCATAAATCAGTAATTTGGTGTGGTTTGTTTACTGGCTGAACAGCTGATTTGGGGATTCGGTTGCCTTCCCCCCTCCAGCCAGCACCCACTTGCCAGCAGTACCCCTCCCTGCCTCTGAGTGGGTGCCCACAGGAGAGCTGGATCACTGAACCACACAGATCAGATGTTTGGCCAGTAAACAAGTCACACCAAATCAGTGATTTGTGCCCATCTCTAATTCAGATAATAATATTTATTGTTCTGTACTACAGATGCTATTGTGCTGGGTTCTCTCAAATCTATCTGTTATAAGTAGGGGAAGGATTTCAATGACATGTTATATTTTTCTGTAACCTGTGTTTGAGCTTATGAGTGAGTTTGAACATGTTTATGAGTAATCTGGTGAGAAAGGCCGGATTACTCATAAACATGTTTGAACTTGTTTATGGGTTCAAATGTAGGTTACAGAGAAAAGATGAAATGTTATAGAAATCTTCCCCATCATTATAAGAATTAGATATTATTGAATGGTAGCTTGCATAATTTTGTTGATTGGCTTGATGAAGGAGTTATAGCTATATGGATTTTTGATTTTTTTTTATTATGGCAACCATTTGGTTTTGTTTTTTAAAAATGTGTTTTACTTTTCTTTTTGTCCTTGCAGATAAACGCTAGTCTGGGGATGTGAACACAATGAGTGTAAACCAACAGACTCACACAGGGCCGCCTTATGGCCAACCGCAGGCAGGCTATGGAGGATACCTGCAGCCTTCTTATGGAGGACAACAAATCCCAAGTGTTCCTGTTTCTCAGTATGGTGCTTATAATGGTCCAGTGACAGCATATCAGCAGCCTGGTCCCCCACAAGGTATTCTTAATTTGCTATTTAGAGATCAAGAGCTTATTTGAATTTCCATTTGCAAATTACAGTGGGGTCTTGACTTGAGAACTTAATCCGTATTGGAAGGCGGTTCTCAAGTCAAAAAGTTTTCAAGTCAAATCTGCATTTCCCATAGGAATGCATTGAAAACCATTTGATCCGTATCTGCTCTTTTCCGTCCATAGAAACTAATAGGAAGCTGCTATTCCGCCTTCGACCACTAGAGGGGGATATTTTGTTTCTTTTTTTCTTAGGTCAAGAAAGGTTCAGGGAAGGCAGGGAAAATACAGTCCAGGCAGTACAGTACCAGGCAGTCTGAAGACTCCCAATCCACTCTCTAAACGCTGGGAGGAGTGAGGAAGCAGACAGGCACCCTTTTCACTGGCCAACAGTTAACTGAAAGTTCAAATTTTGCACTTTCCCTGCCTCCCACGTGGTTTTTTTCAGTTCTTAACTCAAATCTAAGTATGTAAGTCAAGTCAATATTTTCCTATGAGAGTGGTTCTTAAGTCAAAATGTTCTTAACTCAAGCCGTTCTTAAGTCAAGACCCCACTGTATGTATCTTGCCTCGGCAATGCCCTCAGTGTGACACTGACAAAAATCTAAGTATATGAAAGCTATTTAGCTGAATCAAATTTAAGTTCAACCAGAGTAGGTTCATTGAAATAAAAAGAACTTGTCAGTTGAAAGTAACATGAAATCAATTGATTTGATACTGTCTGTCCTAGCTGGGAGTAAAACTCATTTTATGTATCATGTATTTTGAGAATGTTTTTAAATGCTCAGTTCTGATTTAAAAACCTGTGCATACTATTATATATTACAGATGGACTAGAGGTGGAGTTTTATGTTTACTCATGGGGATGGGTGGGTTATATTTTATATAGTCCCGCTACTGTCAGATGTGTAAAATTTATATTTGTTGAGGTGCTGCCAGTGCCAAAAATATGAGGGCAAATGAGTTGTTTGGCTTGGGATAGAGGATATTACAAAGCTCTGACTGCAAACCAGAAAGTATGTAAAGAAACTGGATTCACTGGTAGCAGAAATTGGTGGAAAGCCACTTGAAGAAGTAGCAATTAAAGAGTAAACTTCAGGAAAACTAATTACTTACCAGATTCCAAATGCTGTTGAAAATATCTGTTTGCATTACAATAATTCTGCAGGTAGTTTGTACCTTTTGGCGGGACACCTGTTTTGTGTTTGGTCACACTGTTTGCACAACTGACACTTTGTCAAAGGTTTCAAACCGCTTGTGTGGTTACTGTTGAATGCAGAGATATTTCACCAAATTTCTGGCCCAGAATTTGGAGAAGGTATTACCATGTTCAAGCACACATATATATTAAACTGAATTGATACGTTTTAAAAGGCCATATACACCTACTGGTGAATATCTCTAGAGCTGCCTCGATACCTACCCTGTATCCCTGAAAATAAACCCAATCGCCAAAATAAGCCCCAGTTGAGTAAAACCCCGCCCTCCACCACTGTGCAGCAACCAGAAGAAGATGACACGACTGTATTTGAATAAATGTAGATTGCCGTACCTGAAAAAAATAAGACATCCCCTCAAAATAAGACCTAGTGTGTTTTTTGGAACAAAAAATTAATATAAGACCCTGTCTTATTTTCGGGGAAACAAGGTATGCCAACTTTCAGGTGTGTAGATTTCATGTTATTGAAGCTATATTTGAGATGACAGATCCCCATCTAGTTTGTTATAGAGTTCTCTGCTCTTGGTATTATAAATGAAGAACAGTTGATTCCAGTAGGAGTTTGGATATTGTTGACTATACAGTGTATTAAAAGTAGACATTGGGTATTCGTATCCCTGGGGAGATGAATACGAATACAAATACTAGCAGTATCACAGTGCCACAAACGTACGTTCCCTCCCCCAGCCCCCCCCCCGAACCAGCCAGTCTACTTACCAGTCATTGCGCAGAGCTGGGGTCCTTAGTCGTCATCCTTGCAACAATTGTGGAAGAAGCCTGGCTGGCTCTTCCCCACCTGCCTGCACAGCCAACCATTTATCAGTTGAGCAGGGAAACTCTCCATCCTGCCTCCTTGCTGGAGTAGTTGGTTGCGTGGGGAGGAGCCAGTTGGGTTTCTTCCATGATTGACGCAAAGGAGCCCAGCTCTGTACAGTGACTGGTAAGTGGACCAGCCAATTCTGGGAGCGGGGGGAGGGAATGGACCTCTGTGGCACCTGTGATGTTGCTATTCGTATTCATATCCTCAGGGATATGAATGTGAATAGCCTATGTCTAATTAAAGAATTTAAATCATATTGTGAGAATCAGAAATTTAAAGGACATTACTGGCACAAATTTGTGCACTGGTGAAATTGGGAAAAAGATGATCAAGGGCAGCGGGGCATCCAGGAGCCACCTAAGGCTGTGAGCTTTCATGTGTAAATAACTAGATTTCCATTAGCCTGCATTTAATGAGTTTTCAAGTATTACCAGAGACTAGTAGGGGAGACACTGGGGCTGGTGTCATTTCTAAATTGTCATTTTGTAGCACCCAGCAATGCATCTTGAGCTGCTTACTTAATCTTGTTGATTTTGCTGCATACCAGTAGAACTGTTCATGTAGTAAAAGAGAGCTATGAGAGAAATAAATAGGGACACAAGACAATTATCTTTTTGGGTCCTACAGTTTAGTTGAGTTATCAGTGCTGCATGATAATTGAAATCAGTGAATAAGCACAATTTGTCCTTTTTTTCCTTCCTGGCCCAGATAGACCAAAAACCATATGCAATTCAGAAAGCAAATTGGCTTTCACTTGAAACAGCATTGAAACTGGAACTAGCTGTAGAATCTGCCTGAAAAAGTATTATTGAGCACAAGCTAGATAACTTTTTCAGCTTGGTTTATGGCTGTGCTATGCTACTTATGTATATTAAATTATCTGTATTATAAAATTAAATAGAGCACTTCTGAGCTTGTTGGAGATGCCTCTCTAAATAACGATCTTTAATATATATGTTTGAAGGAAATCAGACAGTGTAACTAGACATTTGAATAGCAGATGGCAATGAAAGCACAATTTGAACTTGGCTCTGTTATTTCCTGCCCATGCTCTCATGACATGTTGCCAGGCAGCCACAGGGAAAAAAATTCACCTTCCTAGGATCTGTGAATACATTTGCTTGAAAGTTTTTTCAAATGCCGTTTTGTTGATATATGTGTGCGTGTATATATGCATATACTGTACATGTATATTGTCTTTCCAGGTTACTTTCCTTCACTGGGGTTTCCTTCTAAGGGCTCTCCTGTTTCTCTCGATTCTGATGCTTCTTTTGCTTCTAACTTCATAGGTAAACACTTCCCTTCTCATGCGGTGTCTCCTGTGAGAAAAGACAGTCTCTAAGGCATTGATCTAAAAGATGTCACCCATTGTGTAAATGTTAAGCTTAGCAAAGACTAGAAGGTGGAGACCTCATGAGTTCTTCCAGGGAAAATATTTAAAATACGAGTTTTTGTATAAGGTTAGTGGTAGTTAGTACTGTGTTTCCCCCCTAAAATACGAGTTTTTGTATAAGGTTAGTGATAGTTAGTACTGTGTTTCCCCCAAAATAAGGCAGGGTCTTATATTAATTTTTGCTCCAAAAACACATTAGGGCTTATTTTCAGGGGATGTTTTATTTTATAGTCATGTCATCTTCTGGTTGCTGCACAATGCTGCACAATGGTGGAGAGTGGGGTTTCACTTAACTAGGGCTTATTTTGGGGGTAGGGTTTATATTACGTGCATCCTGAAAAATCATACTATGGCTCATTTTCAGGTTAGGTCTTATTTTCGGGGAAACAGGATAGGTTAAAGCTTATAAATGGCTTGTAGTTACTGTTGTTCTCCATCAGCTGTTCGGCGGCTCCAAAATGGCGGCCGCAATACCCGATCTTCGCAATGCGGGTTTTCCCCATTGCGAAGATCGGGGGAGTTTCCGTATAGCGATCCCGAAAAAGGGATCGCTATACGGAAACATCGCTATACGGTGCACTCGCTAAGCGAGGCACCACTGTATTGCTACCCACGTGGTAACATACAAGTAGTTACAAGATTCTTTAACAGGTGGAAGTATGTCAATATAGCAAATTCTCAGTAAAAGCTAAGAGCACTGCTATTGCAAACTCTTAATTTGGGGTACCAACCTCTTGTCCAACTTACCTTAGTTACAGAGCACAATTATGTATGTTTGAACAAAAGTAACCCAAGTAATTTTTACAGAGGACTCTGCCTTGCCCTGTAAATTCTAAGATTCTATTTTATTTTCTCTGAATTCAAACTGCGCCAAATATCTAACCCATTCATATTTGCTAATAACTGTATGACATTTTCCCCTTGTGCTACCACAGGATAATACAGATGCCTGCAATAAAGCCCATCTGTGCCCGATCTTATGTCCTTCCATATGTCCTCTACAACTTTCCTTGTCCCCATAGAGTCTGCCATTACTACGCACACCATTTTTGCTCTGAAACTTAATTTGCCTATCTTGAGGTGGCTTCTTTTTGCCAAGTTTCATGTTCACCTGCCAGTTTTCTGCATTTAATGTTCAAATGGCCAAAAAGCTACATATGAGAATCCTGGAATAATGGAATTGAAAGAGGCCTATAAGGCCATTGAGTCCAGCCCTCTGTTCAGTGCAGGAATCCAAGTCAAAGTATGTCTGACAGATATCTTGAATGCCTCCAATGTTGGATTGCTCACCAGTAGCTTCATTCTGAGAACACCCCTATTAGCAACTGTCTGATTTAATTGTAAAGCTGTTTCTCTAACTGCATGGTTGGTCTGTAGTGGTTTCTCACAACTGTTGATACAAATATTCTCAAAATGAATTCTTAGTGAAAATTATCAGGTAATCAGAGGTTCTTCAACATCTGGTAGGAGAAAACTGGGATGTCACTGGTTGCCTGCCCATTTCTGGGTCCAATTCAAACTGTTCGTTATGATTTATAAAACCTTATATGGTTTGGGTCCAGGATATCTGAAAGACTGTCTTTCACTCTATGAGCCCTTTTAGTTGTTAAGATCTTCAATGGAGGCCTTTCTGTTGCTCCTAATGCCTTCGCAGGCATGTCTGATGGGAGTGCAAGAGAGGGCCTTCTCAGTGGCTTTTCCCAGGCTGTGGAATGCTCTTCCTTGAGAGGCTCGGCCTCCTCCCTCTTGTCCCTCCAGCGACAAGCAAAAATGATCTTGTTGGTGCATGTTTTAACTAATTGGGCAGGTTTTTGCATGTGGGAAATTATTATTATTCTACTTATCCTCTTACTGTGTTTGCAAGGGGTTTTAGATAGATTTAACTAACAGTTCTAATACTGTTATATGTTTAATTGTTTTTAGTGTTATAATTCATTGTGGGTTTTTTTAATATAGCCTGTGAGCGGCCTTGCTTTCTTTAATTGGGGGAAAGGCAGCATACAAATGAAAACAGACAGATTGATCGGTCGATCACTCATGCTCTGAATAACCTAAAAATCATTTTTATTCTTTACATTTATAAATTATATTCTTTTCTGGGATCTCTCTCTTCCAAAGTCTCCCTTTCGCTCTCATATACACATGTACAAAGGCATGCATATTTATAATTAAATTAAATTAAATTCTTAAATGACTGGATTTTTTATTACAAGAAGACTTTTAAACTTCCTTTTTCTGTTTCGGCTACTGAAATTCTTGAGTATCATAGACATGTACTATAAGCTGCACTTAACAAGTACAATTTCTATTTTTCATTGTGTGTGTCCCCATGCCTAGTGTATTTAAGACTGTCCTCATATAAGGTTCCCCATTCTGGGTCTCTAGTATATTTATAACACACATTTCAATATTTCTAGGTTCTCTGAGAACTCCTTCCACTTCTGGAGCTCCTGCATCAACATCTGGAGCATTAGTTCCTCCTGGACAGCCTGCCTATACTCAGTTTGGACAAGGAGATGTACGCAATGGAATTCCTGCTTCTACAGTTTCATTGCAAAGGTAATTGTGGAAACAATATTTGGTTCTCTGTATTGACATGATCAAATTGACATGAACGATTCTCTGAATATGCTCTACATATAGTGTAAATGGTTGCCCAGTTCCTCCTAGTCCTTTATGACTCTTAACTTTCTCCATGGTACCAAAGTGTAGTAAAGCTGGGTTATATTTTCTTTTTTTCCCTTGACTTCCCCTACAACATTCTGGTAAGAATGACAGCTGTTTAAAGAGAACTGAAGTGGCATAATTTCTTTGCCGTGAAAATTGGGGAGGAAAATGCTGGTGATAAACAGTGATAGAGGACAGTATTATTTGGTGGCATCAGCCGCAACATAATGGTTGTATTAATTGGTGGATGCAGATCTTCAAGTCTCTAATCTGTAGCAGGTTGGATTTGATTTAGATCAAATTGATTTAAATTTTAAAATTATTTAAATCATTATTTAAATCAATTGCTTTTTAAAATTTTTTTATTCACCTTGATCTCTAGTAACTCAAGTGTGGATTTGTACTTTCAGCTAGATCTGGTTCGTAAGGTGAAGAGCTAAATGTGCCTGGTGCTTCCCCCGATTATGATTTTATGACTAGCTGGTTAAAGTAGTTATCTGGTTAAAGTAAGAAAAAGGAACAAAGATAGTTCTCCCTTTTGTTTCTTTCTTTGTTTAGATTGTGTGCTACTTCCATTAATGCCAAGGCACTACTCTATGCAGTTTACAATAGATAAAATATCAGACAGAGATAAAAATTAAACATTAAAGACAGTGTGAACAAATTAGTAAACAACTATAAAATAATTATAAAAACAGATGATGCCAATCAATAATGCACAAAACAAAAACAGATGAAAAATGGGCTTGGTTGGTGTGGAAAACCTCCCTGAAGAGCAGCGTCTTTAGTTGTCTCCTGAATATCCATTGGGGGTGGGGAGCCAGGTGAAACTCCTCTGGAAGCTGGTTCCACAAGTTTAGAGCCACTGCAAAGAAGTCCCTATCTCTTGTAGAAGACTCAGGAGCCGCCCTCGGGGTGGCGACCCAGAAGAGCCTTGCTTGTGATGATCTACTGGGTCAGGCAGATAACATAGAGGAAAGATGCTCTGACCAGTAATGTAGGACCAAGCCATGGAGCGTGTCAGAACGTTGAACGTGATCTGGGACTCAACAGGTAACTAGTGAAGGCAAATCAAACCTGGAGTGATATGATCAAATTTGCTTGCACCAACAACCAGTCTGGCTGCCACATTCTGGACCCACTGTAGTCTCCAGATCAGGCTCAAGGGAAGCCTTGCATACAGAGCATTGCAGTAGTCCTTCTAGGAGATGACTAAGGTCTGCACCAAGGTCCTGAGGGAGCCCTTGTTTAGTTAGGGGCAGTGTTGGATGAGAAGCCTAAGTTGGTTGAAGGCTAATCTGGACATGGCTGTGATCTGTGACTCCCCAAAAAAGAGCGGGTCCAAAAGAATGCCCAGATTACGAAGCTGGTCCCTAAGTGGAAGAGGAATGCTATTCGGCCTAGCGGCATTCCACCCTCTGGAGCAAAATCTCTGACTTGCCAGGTTCGGTTTGAACCTGTTAACCTTGATCCATTCCAGTACTGAAGCCAAGCAGTGCTCAAGCGCCTGGGCAGCATTCAATGCAGAGGAGGTGACTGAGCGATAGAGTTGCGTGTCATTGGCATACTGATGACACTTTACTTCAGCACTCCTGATGACCTCACCCAGTGGCTTCATGTAGATGTTAAATAGCATTGGAGGAAACACATATCTTGGGGTCCAAGGAGGCAACACCTCTAGCTGAACTCTGGACATGGTCCTCAAGGAAGGAGAAGAGCCAGCTCAATGCTAGGCCCCCAGTCCCCACCTCTGAGAACCTGTCCAGGAGGATACCTGGTTGTCGACAGTATCAAAAGCCGTTGAGAGATCCAGGAGAACCAGCAGGGTACATCTGCCCCTGTCGGCCTCCCATAAAAGGTCATCCTGCACCGTGACCAGTGTCATCTCGGTACCTTGTCATGGTCTAAATCTAGATTGGAATGGGTCAGGGCAATCCTACTCCTCCGGGTATATCTGTAGCTGCTTTACTACCACCCCTCAATTGCCTTGCCGAGAAATTGTATATTGACAATTGGACAAAAGTTGTTAAGATCATCCATCACTAACTGGGGGTGTTTGATAATGGGTCAAACAATGGCTTCTTTTAACTGTGAGGGGAGCATTCCCTCACTTAGCAGTGAATTAACTATGTTCATGACCCAATCAATCATAGATTTATTTATGTAACCCCCATGACATTGTTTGTCTACATGTCACTTTTCAGCTTTTGGGGTGTCCTCTCCTCTGTCTTATTAGAGACAGAGTCTTTGAAAACAATATGTACCTAGAAGACCTATTAAAATTTGAAGAAGATAAATGTTTCAAGAAGCCTCAACAGATTGTGGAAATCGTGGCTCATTTTCCATGGAAAACTGGAAAATAAGGATTTAGGAAGAATGACTTCTGCATGAGTTCCTCACTTTATTTATTTATTTATTTTTGGACTTATATACCGCCCCATAGCACTACAAGCACTCTCCAGGCGGTTTACAATTTAATTATGCAGGCTACACATTGCCCCACCCCCCAGCGAGCTGGGTACTCATTTTACCGACCTCGGAAGGATAGAAGGCTGAGTCAACCTTGAGCCGGCTACCTGGGATTTGAACCCCAGGTCATGAGCACAGTTTTAGCTGCAGTACAGCGTTTTAACCACTGAGCCACGAGGTTCTTAAGTTCAGATCTGTAGAATATCATTGAAGTAAATTTAAATGCAGGAAGGAAAGGAAGCAAATGTCTAGCTGAAAAATTACTTTTAGGTTTAAACAGAAACTTAGTAAAGAAGTATGAAGTTACTACATGAACATCCGGAGACAAAACACAGAGTGTACAAGATGATTGATAGATTCTGTGCCAATTGACAATTACTATACGGTAGAATTAGAATCGGAAATAAGAATGCATAGGGTATCCAAGAAGATAAACAAGAGTCAGACGTGCTTCATGATGTTACTTTACTTGATAGAGAAAATAAACTGATGTTGCAGCTAAGCTACTTCACAACTAACTTTTATCAAGCAAAGAGATTGGAACAGGAGTGGATTAAGTAAACGCTACCAAGATATTTTCAAAAACCTTTAAAATTATTACTATTTTTTACATTTTTAACATACATTTCCAGCCCTAGGTAGTGATCAAGGTAATTTATAATTGTCATTGAACTTAATAAAAACAAGAAAAACAGATTGAAGTGTGGAATGATTGAAATGAATTTAAATAAAACATGTCCATAAAAGCTATTTAAGTAAGTGGCTGAAGTCCTATTGCTTTAATTTCTGACATGCAATGCTGGTGATGTCATCAGTCTTCTGCGGTGTTAAGTTGTACAATTGGTCTTCAGCAGTCAAGTCTACAAACAGCTGAAACGATGAGAATAAATTAAACAGTACCAAAAGCCAGTTTTAAGTGCTCTTCATGTGTGAAAGCACATACAGGTAACAGGAATAGAAACTAATTCCAGCTCTGAGCATGTGTATATCTGTATCAAGATTTGTGCTGAAAAAGATTTAATGTCGCTTCCCTGTCAGCACAGAAGCTGCTATATTTCTTGTGTTTACTCATTTACTGCAGTGGTGATGTTGCATCAAGATTTCAAAAAAGTAATTTACCTTAGTTAAATTATTGGAAACCAGTAGATATATACCTTGACTTAGAATTTAATGTTAAGTGTTTTAATCTTGTATCAAAAGTACCAAATGTATTGAATAAAGTTTTTAAAATGTTGAAAATTGTATTTATGGGGGAAAATAGTATTTTGAATTAAATATACACGGACCTTAAATGTCCTGTTTTGGTAAAATAATAATTTAAAAAATGGGTAGAATGGTGTGGCATGTCCTCAATCCAGGAGTAGAAAAACCCTGACATTGCACATCCCTGAAGTACAGGGCAGAGAAAGCTTTTGAAGCAGTGGGAAGCCCTTCTTTATTGATTCTAGCCAAGATTGCACTGGAACAATAACAGGAGATTGATTCATATAACTTAAGAGTTATCTATCTACTCCTCCCCACCAGACCTTCTCCTCAGCAGTTCATGCCTGGCACAGCCCCTGCTCCTATTACCCAGCCAGCTACTTTCCAGCATTATGGGCTACCTCCATCAGGTACACAGCAACTGACGAATCACATGGCAGCAATGCAGATCAGCAGTGTTTCATCCTCGGTTCCCAGCCCAGCTGGACTGGGCTATGGTGAGTTAATGAATAGTGCTTGCTTGTGTGGATAGATTCACTCGGATGTTTCTTTGGGTAGAATCTTGCTTCTAACATTCTAGAAATCAGTTGCTTCTTGATTTTACAAATAGCATACAATATATAAAACAGATCTATACTGTACATTGCAAATACTATATGTTATAATATCAAGTTCTGACTGAAGTTTATAGTAGAGTATTTAAAGATGGAAGATATTAAACCTGCCTTCAGTTATTAATTTGACTTTGGAAGAGGCTAACATTGTAGTCATAGTACAGTGGTGCCTTGCATTAAGACGTTAATTCATTCCAGCAAAATCGCTGTAGAACGAAAACGTAAAGTGAAAATAAAAAAGCCATTGAAACGCATTAAAACCTGTTTAATGCGTTCCAATCTGCTAAGAACTCACCGTCCAGCGAAAATCCTCCATGGGGCAGCCATTTTCGGGTGCCTGTGCAGCGAAAAATGGCTCCTAAACACAGCGGGGAGCCATTTTGAGTACCCGGTGGCCATTTTGAAAACCCGACGATCAGCTGTTTTGATTGTCGGGAAGCGAAAATCGGTTCCTGAAACAGGGAACCAATCATCGTGCAGCGAAATTCCCCCATTCAAAACGTCAGTTTGCAATCACTTTTGTGATTACAAAAACCTCGTTGTAATGCGGATTCGTCGTTAAACGGAGCGCCCGTCTTGCGAGGCACCACTGTATTTGTATTTAAAACCACAGAAGAGCACAGAGATAAACCAGTAAGATGCATGTTGATTTTATTTTGTTTGATCTGTATTTCAACTACTATAAAGCTCCTCCCTAAGTATGTGTTTTAAGGTCTCACCCATTGTAAATGTGGTGAGATCACAGAAATAAAAATTCAAGGTCTAGGAGTATATATCTGGAACATTTCATAATATCAAACATACAGTGTGTATGAAGAATTAAGAAATGTATTCAGTACTATGTTGGCTCACAGCCACAGCAAAAATGATAAACATCCATGGAGCTCTTAGTCCTATTTTGTCCTCCTCAGCCCCTGCCCAGCTGGTACATTTGCTTTGAGATTTTAAAAAAATACTGAGATGGAGTACCTGTGCTCTTGGTTATATGGCTACAACAAAAAGGACTCTCACCCTGTCTCCTAGTCTATATGATGGTAACTCCTGATTGAACCGAACTAGGCTGTTGTCCCTGGGCATTCCAAACAACACATAAGGCTCCTCCATCTCTCTCTTGGACTGTTTCCCAAATTTCTGCTTCCACTGACTTTGGAGGTTATGTGTTGGCATTGCTACAGCTCTGTCTGTACTAAGCCCTGCACAGGTTAGGGAGTGGGACTAGTTGTGACAGCATCACATCAATGCATCATTGCTTCAATGTGTTTGTGTCCCTCGTGCTGGCGGGGTAGGCAGCCTTGTATCCTCTGGAAGTTTTGAACTACACTGTTTATAATCCATCTTCCCCAGACAGCATGGCTGACAGGGCTTATGGTGGTTGTAGTCTAAAATATCTATATATATTTTTCATTTTTAAGTATTTATTTAAGAACAGGGATGGAGAATATAAAAAGTAAGGGGGAATAGGAAAAAGGGTTTGGGGGATAGGAGAACATAAAATATACCATCATCCAATTAATTCATATTACAAATACAAATCAACTTTTTGCTTTTTCACCATTTGATTACCCTCCTGCTTTTATCTTATCATTTAATTTTAGTTTTATTCTATGTTACGCCAACACTGTCTGGTAACTGCTGCCATTTATACCATACATCCCATCGTTCAGCTTTCTTTTGAATTAAACAGTCTTTCAGCCCATCTGACAGAATATCCATTTTTTTCACTTCCCATATTTTCACCATAAGATTCTCTGGTTTCAGTATCTCTGCTTCCTTGAGATTTTTGACATAATGCTTTTTAATTTTGGAACCTGCATAGGTCACTGGGTAACTCTCTATCCCATTTATGTTAGCTGGAGTCATGCCTAATACAGACGGTTCTAAAGTTTGTACAGCTTCATTTAAGTTTTGTTTGGCATCTACTGTCCCCTCTTTCGTCCCTTTCATCAAATCTTCTGTTTTGCTAAGACTTTCATTCACTTGCTGAAACCCTATTATTATTATCCTTTGCATATTAATCTGCCATTCCTTTCCTATTTCTTGTACCACTGTTCCAGAGCTTTGGGATTGAACAGAGCAAGTCTCCATTTGTTCTCTTGAATTTCTGGAGTCCATCTCAGGTTTTGGGGTTTGTATAGATAGTACTATACCCTTAACTACAATAATCACCCCTTAGATATCCTCCCACAGTTTCCACAATTTTATCAACAATCCAAACCCCTCATCATAAACCTCCCCTTAGATCTCCCTCCAATCTTTATCCAAATATTATAATGTAAGATTAACTTTTAACCCAGCAGATAGAGTCAAATAGAACCGTGGCACAATTTTTTTCCTTCTTCTCCTGAGTTCAGCAAGCTCTATTATCAGACTCACATGCAGTCCGCAATCCGACAAACAAAACAACAATCACCAAGTCTCAAACTGTCCAGTCGTTGTCTTTGAAGCCCGTCCTGCGATCTTCATTAACCCCTCGATACTCCTTAGTCCAGTCTAAAATATCTAGAGAGGGTTGACTTTCCTTGTGCTAAGATTTGCGTGATAGAAACCATGTGGCTTTGATATGTCCATTCTTTGGTTCCAAATGGAAGTAGAATTCTTTAAACAATACATCTTTCAAATAATTGTTTAAAATATAGGAGATTATCTGTCTGCTTAACTTGCTATGCCATCTTCATGTCCAGTTGTGTGTGAACATGAACCATCAAGTCCATTCCAACTAATGGTGATATGCATAGGGTTTTTAAGGCATGTTGAATGTTCGAGGAGTGGTTTACCATTGCCACTTGACAGTTTCCATAGCAGAGCAGGGATGCGAACCTAGTTTCCCTGAATACTAATCTGGCCTCTCCACCACATTGGCTCCCACAAGATGAATTTACCAATACAACGTTTCAGAATAGAAGTGAAGCAATATTATAGATATTGTAGTGTGGAATGTATAGATGCTGAAAGATTTTCAAGAATTAGATGTGGAATGTGTGTATAATTTAACTTTTGTTCCTCAGGCCCTACCACATCAGTTCCACCTGCCTCAGGAAGTTTTACTACAATCGGATCTGGGCAATACATGTCATATTCAAGCCAAGGACCACCACCACCTAATATGCCCCATGGATTGCCTCCCACCAGCTTGGCTCAGGGTCTTTCCATGGCTCAGCCTTCTGTTTCTGGTCCTCCACCTGCCCTGCACCTTTCTTCTCAAGCTCCTGGCTTTGCCCCACCACCACCTACGTCTGCTGGAATTGGAGCTTCCAGTTACCCTTCTGCTGCAGGTGTTTCAAGGCCTCCCACAATACAGGGCACATCATTACCTGGTCATGCTGTTACTGGGTTGATCAGCACTTCCCAACCAAATCATGTGACCTCACCACCACCTCAACAACCTATGGCAGGACCTCCCCCCGGACCACCACCTCCTGGGCCACCAATGACAGGATTGCAAGGACCACCTCCAACTCATCCTCCCCAACCAGGATATGCATTACAACAAAATGGTAGGTTTAGTATGTTGGTGGGGTGTAAACGCCTGTAGGATTTTAATAATAGTTATACAGTGGTGCCTCGCTTAACAAGCGGCCCGCTTAATGATGTATCCGCATAGCGTTTTGTTTTTTGCGATCGCAAAAGCGATCACATTCCGATGTTCCTAATGGCAAAAAATCATTTTCCGATGATCGGTAGGCTGTTTCGCTTACCGATTTTCGCAAAGCAATGTTTTAAGAACAGCTGATCGGCGGTTCCAAAATAGCTGCCGGGTAAAAAAAATGGCCACCCGCTGTGTTTTTGCACCCTTTCCTCACTTACCGGGCAGCGAAAATGGCGGCTAGATGGAGGATTTTCGCATAACGGTGAGTTTTAAGCCCATAGGAACGCATTAAACGGGTTTTAATGCATTCCTATGGGCTTTTTCATTCCGTATAGCAACGATTCCCCATAGCGACCATTTTTCCGGAACAGATTATCGTCGCTATGTGGGGCACCACTGTATTAATTAATTGTACTATTTCTCTGTGAAATATATTGAGTAGTACAGTGGTTCCCAAACTTGAGTCTCCAAATGTTCTTGGACTACAGCTTCCAAAAATCCTGGCCCGCACAGCTAGTGCTGAAGGTTTCTGGTAGTTTTAGTCCAAGAACATCTGGGGACGCAAGGTTGGAAACCACTGAAGTAGTATAATTGACTACTGAAATCGTGTTTCCTTTATTATATACATCTTGGAAAACAGCTTCTGTTATGATTTTAAAGGGTTGTCCTCCTTCCTAATATTGCAGGTAATTTCTGTCCTGTTTAATGTGTTCCTATGGGCTTTTTCGTTCCTAAATTAAAATATTGATATTACTGAATGCTTGAGAGCATTTAAGGGATTCATATCAGAACTCAATTCATGTCATTAGTTTATGTGCTGATGACGTGATACTGATATTAAGGAATCATGTAAAAGCAGTCCACCATATATTAAAGGAATTAGTGAAATTATCTGAGATTTCAGGCCTCCCAAGTCATTTTCAGGAAATTAGATTAATGTGCTTCAATATACCCCCATCGCTAGACATGTTTAATATCTCATAGGTAAAAGTCCCACTTACTAATAAAGACTTTAAATATCCAAGAGTCTTCATAGCTAAAAATCAGTTCATTCCTAAATCCCTGGAACTAGCACCACCTATCTTTTTTTTAGGGGAGAATGAATAACTTTTACATAAACCATAAACATATAGGTTATCTTCCTGCAGCTGCTAGTCAGACTATAGCTAAAGGGTACAAGAATATGCAGAGGGTATCAATTGCAGCATGGTATTCTAGAGAATGGCAGATAGTACTTTAGGAAAAATTAACCACCAAAGTACATAAATCTAAAAAGATAAAACACCTGGGTTCTTCTGCAACAGATTGGCACTCTTTCATTGTCTGTATGAATGGAATAGATTAGTGGTTCCCAACCTGAGACATTCGTGGATTGCAACTCTCAGAAGGCTTCACCTCTAGCTGTGATCACAAGGACTTCTGGGAGTTGTGATACAAGAATGTCTTGGGACCCAAGGCTGGGAACCACTGATCTATTCCATTCATACAAACAATGAAAGAGTGTCAATCTGTTGCAGAAGAATCCAAGTGTTTTATACTTTTAGATTTATGTACTTTGGAGAATGTCTGAGGAGCCAAGGTTGGGAACCACTGGAATAGCATACAGGATTTATTAGTCTTGAAATATGACTGTAATTTTCTCAGGAAAGTTTCATCATAAGATAAATAAGATATTTTGCTTATCAAATGTGCATATATTTAATTGTAAGTCTATTATGTACAGTGGTGCCTCGCACAAGGAGGTTAATCCGTCCTGGATTAACCCTCGCTGTGTGAAACATCGCTCAGCGGAAAGTAAAAAGCCATTGGAACGAATTAAACAGCATTTAATGCGTTCCAATTCAGCCGAATACTCACCGTTTTGCGATGTTCCTCTATGGCTGGCAGCCATTTTCGCACCCTCCCCTCACTTTACGAGGGCGCGAAAATGGCTGCGATCAGCTGTCCGGCGGGTTCAAAATGGCCGCCGGAACAGCCGAAATGGCCGGCCGCAGCGTTTTCGCGCCCTTGGTAAGCGAGGGGAGGGCGCGAAAATGCTGCGCGCAGCCATTTCGGCTGTTCCAGCAGCGTTTTCGCGCCCTCCCCTTGCTTACCAAGGGCGCGAAAACGCTGCAGCCGGCCCTTTCGGCTGTTCCGGCGGCCATTTTG